ATGAGGTGAACACAATCAGGGATCAGGGGAGCCAATCAGACAGGTGACATACCCGGAAGTGACCTGAACGAGAGGAAATTGACTTTTCAAAATAAAACAGGAAATGATAAGATGCTCTGCCACCAATGAGGGGAGAGGAGAGACTCATAATAAATCAGTTGTTTGGTTAGCGGACACCTTTAGCTTTATCGACAATTTCAGTTTTTTCCAGGACCACTGACATTATTTTTTTTTATTATTATTTATTTATTGATATAATTGTAAATTTATTGACACCTTTTATTTTAATAGAGAAAAAATAATAATGATAAATAAATACTTATAATAAATGATAAATATGTGATTCATTATATAAATAATGCAATAACAAAACATGTCATTAAAATATAGTGTGTATAAATAGTCATATTTCTATAATATTAAATATAAATATTAAAATAGATCCAAATGAAAATATATAAAGAATATATATAACAAAATAAATTATCATAAATCATACAATTTGTTACTATAAGATTTTTATAAAAAAATATTAATTATTTGATTAATTATACTTAATTAACACTTGAATTCATTATATTTTCATAATTATTATAAGAAATATAAATTGTTGTAATGAAATAATTTTGATAAAATGATAGAAATACATTATCAGAATTATAATGAATTCAATATCATCAATAATTGTATATTTATATATTCATTTATTTACTTAATTATTTGATAATTAGTTAAATATTCAATTATTTAACTATTATATTATGTAATTATTTAATTATGTAATTATTTAATTATGTAATTATGTAATTATGTAATTATTTAATTATTTAATTATTTAATTATTTAATTATTTAATTATTTATTAACTTAATTATTCAATTATTTATCTTACATTCTGCTCTGTTGGACAAGGACAGAATGAGGCCTAAACATTGATGTGACCGGCTGATTAGCTGGAGCCAATCAGGGGTAAAAGCCCACGAAGACTAAATGAACACAACACTGTCACTGATCAGTCCCCTTTAAGGACACACACAGTTGTGTGTCTCTGTGTCCCACTCAGGTCTGTGCTGTTCTCTTTGGCTTTATGTCACGATGATAAAAGGCTGATAACTAAAGCAGCCCAGTCAGCACATTTCCAGTTTCATGCCCCATTCTCGCTTCATTTGCCTGTTTAGTTTAGCATCCTGAGCTGGAAGATTTTCTTTTTTTTTCTTATTCAGAGACATTTTTTTTGTGTTTACTGCTTCCGTGGTTTTAAAACTCTGAGTTTTATCGGCTGCTGATTCAAACCCATCCAAATATTTCTCCTTTCATGAGCCATAAAAATGAATCTGGTCGGTAAATATTGTAAAGCAGTTTATTTTATCAGTTTTGCTACAAAACCTAATGCAGTTTTTCCGATTTTTTTTATTTGTGGTGATATTCAGGCTCCATTAACAATGTCAACATTTCACTTTCTTGATTTATTTTAACATTTTCTTTGACATATCTTTTACTTT